CGTCGTAACTTGCATCTTGCCCCTCCATCAGTCAAATTACTAGCCTACAAAACACTAATTCGCCCAAAACTAGAGTACGCATCCGCCATTTGGGACCCATTCCAAATTAACCTAAGTAAGTCCATCGAACTAATTCAAAACCGAGCAGTTAGATTCATCTACTCAGATTACTCGTATCATACCAGTGTTACCACCCTTAAAAGAATAGCAGATCTACCTAACCTTGACCTACGCCGTAAGGTTTCCAGACTATCCTTGTATCACAAAATGTATCATACGTTTCATTACAACTGTCCCATTCAATCAGCTCATCGTACTTCAGCCCGCACAAGCCACCACAAGGCCGTGTACCCACCTCCTGCATGTACCACAGCCCACCATCACTCCTTCTTCACTCAAGCAGCCAGGGACTGGAACGATCTTCCCCCAAGTGTCATCCATCATAGCAACACGGATAGATTTAAAAATGCCATAGAATCATTGTTTTATTAACTCTATATTGTTTGCCCACACCCTCATGTAAAGCCCCCTGTTGGGTGGCCTTTGAGGTATATTAAATAAATAAAAAAATAAATAAATAAAGAGTAACCTCACCAAGAAAGCATTGAACAAAGGACGGAATTATGCGATACCTATATCTGGGGACGATATTCGAAATGTTATAACGCGAAGAGCTAACCACTATTTCGTGGAGAAGTGATTTGATAGCCCTCAGTCAAGGGAATCGTAATTTATGAAGTTGATCCGCACAGAAAATTTTCAATGGTGATAAATCTACCACGACACTTAGAGACGTTAATCCACATACTTTGACTGGAAGTAGCATACACAAACAACTTCCTGCACAACATAAACCAATCCAACTCATTGGAATACCACTGTGGTCATGCAGATGAAAAGTTCGCCATATTCATTTGGAGTGCGTAATGAACACAAATGAAAGTGAAAAAATCGGCAGATCCCATGTACAGAGGGAATCGAGGATATGCGAAGCACGAATGAGGAAGGTTGATATGTCACTTTAAAATCAGCACATAGTTACGAGGTGAAGTAAATTATGCCGTATATGACTTATGTGTCCTAATTATCATATTTGGACGTGTTATTTACCTTTTTCATTTATTCACGTCACCTGATGCCAAATTTGGTATATATGGAGCTAGCGAAATGGTCGCGAGCGCGCTATAAGCATAGCTTGTAGTCTCGTTTTACATGACACGCATATCATCATTATCATGTTTGATTGTGTCATTTAACTTCTTCGTCTTTGACGTCACGTAATGCCAAATTTGGTATATGTGGAGCTAGCGAAACGGACACGAGCGCATCATAAACGTGGTATATTGTCATGTTCTTACATGGCACGCCTGTCACGATTATCATGCTTGCACCATTCTTATACCTTCGTCATTCATTGATGTTGCGTAACACCATATTTGGCATATGTGGAGCTAGCGAAACAGCTGCAAGCGCAGCATGAAGGGCCCAATATACTCCGACGTAACGTTGACGCGCGCGCACGCTAGGTGCAGTGATGCTACGCTAGCAAAAAGCGAGCACTCTATAATCGTTACCGGCGCGGCGAGCGTCCGTCAGTGCATCCCACGGAGGAAGGAAAAAGGTAAGGAGAGGGCATGCCCAGCCGGCGCAGGGCGTAAAAAGTGTGGCGGAAATGACATCATGGCGGCCATATTCAGACGGCACAATGGCGGCGTTGCTATGGTTACGTGTTGAGCAGTGGAGCTGGTCTAGCAGTGAGCGGCCGCGGCTGGCGGCAGAATGTGTGCCTCCCCAGGTCTCGTTCTGAGCTGTGGCGGACAATATCTGTGCTCTGCGCCGCGTTATTGGTTACGCAGTGTTCTCTTGGCTGTTACATTACTCTTAGCAGCGTTTACAAATCCCTTTGTCCATCACGGGGTTTCAACAGTGCGTAGAACAAGTGCATATCCATGTGTCATGCGGCGGATGACGCGGATGAAGCAGTTAGTGTTCAGCGAAATTGCGTTGGGCACCATGACGAAGCTGAATGACGACGAACGCCTTGCAGGTCAGTGACGGTTGAGCAGTGCTCCTGCTTGTGACAATGGACGACGCTGTTGAGCCCAGCAAGACGCCGTGAGGACCATGTGCACATACGTAGTTTCGTGTTGTGTGTGTACAGTAACAACTTGCATGCGCGTATTAAAACACCTTTTCTGTTCCGCTTGGTACACTCTCCACCAGCACTGCATGTAATCTCAACGTAAGAGCAACCACGTTCAACTGTCACTAGCACCGTGCTCAGTCACCACGGTCGCAGAATGCTGACGCCGGTGATTTTCACGTTGAACACGGACACAGTGGCAGGACGCTGCGTCGGCTGCGTGGCGGAATGCAACCGTAGAAGGCGCACGACCGATCGTGTTGTCTGTACAGTTGCTGAATTAATGACGTGAAGGCACTCGCCGTTGTCAGTGCATCTAGCGCGCGTTCTCTCGTAGTTGCTTCGTTGTCGGCGAGCTGTTATTCCCTGTTATTACTCGGACGAAGCGATTTCGTTGAAGCTGTCCCGCTGGCTCCGAGTGATGAGCTCAGTTCCATTAGTTTCGGATCGTCACGACACACGCGCTGCGCAGCCCACGTGCTTTCCGAGCCGGAGAGGGAGTCGCGCCTTCTGCTTCGCATTCATATGTAAACAAGAGAGGAGAATTTGCCTACTCAATATGGCCGACTTCCGGCTTCATCGCGGCTTCACAACGAGTGACTTCAGGGCCTCTCCTTACCTTTTCCTTCCTCCGTGGTGCATCCTGATGGAGGGAGGCCGGGCGCGCTCAAACGAGCATGCGCAGCGCGACGCGCGCCTGCGAGTATATGGCAGGCAGATCGGCACCTCGCGTGGCATCGCCGGCGTGACGCGATGGAACGAACGTGTGCGCCGGGTCACGTCAAAGTGTATTGGCGCCTTGAGTGTGGCATGTAGTCATGTTCTCACATGGCACGCGTCTCATGCTTATCATGTTTGCACTAGTCCCATACCTTCGTCATCCATTCACGTCCTGTAGTACCAAATTCGGTATATGTGAAGCTAGCGAAACGGCCGCGAGCGCACCATGAGCGTGATTACATGACACGCATCTTATGATTTTCATGTTAAGATCTGTCGTTTGTGTTCGCCATGCAGTCATTTCATACCAAACCAGTTTTGCAACCTTAGCCACTAGACCACCGTACCTTAGCCACTAGACCACCGCGGCGGGGCAGATAGATAGATAGATAGATAGATAGATAGATAGATAGATAGATAGATAGATAGATAGATAGATAGATAGATAGATAGATAGATAGATAGATAGATAGATAGATAGATAGATAGATAGATAGATAGATAGATAGATAGATAGATAGATAGATAGATAGATAGATAGATAGATAGATAGATAGATAGATAGATAGATAGATAGATAGATAGATAGATAGATAGATAGATAGATAGATAGATAGATAGATAGATAGATAGATAGATAGATAGATAGATAGATAGATAGATAGATAGATAGATACGCTTAAGATCGCCGAAGTTCGCTAAGAAATGCTTCACATTTAAAAGTAAAGGAAGGATCTGGCAACTTTGGACACACGGCTCATCACAATAAAGAGATTACATGGACCATGATTTCAGATGCACATTCAGAAAAAGGCGCATATCTTTTTGGCAGACTTTTTAGCAGACACCGGACTGGATAATTGCTTTTGGGATACTGCTAGGGGTTGAGATATAAGGAATGGTGTGTTAGTACATATGTGATTAGAAATGTAAAGGCGTGCGTGTGAACTTGTTATGACAGTTTGAATTGCTGCAAGCAAACTTTACATCAACATGTTATTTCATCTGGCCTCAATGTGCTAATATTGTATTTTTGTGATTGCTAATTTTGCGTGCCATTCATTGTTTTTTTCGCTGCTGGTTGCGCTCATTGGTTCTTTAGTTTCAGTTTCACCTCAAAATTTCTCATAATTCCATTTATGTGCAGTTATTACTACAGGCTGCTTTTCTGAAATCTCAGTTTGAATGGGTTTTCGGCATGAAGGACTTCTATTCTTCTATTTCACTTAACTTTCTAATTTCAGTATTTAAGAGTTAATATATTATTTAACTTTCATAACTACGGGTACAAATGATCTGTTCAATCTGTTTAATGTGCCTGCTGCTACAGAAAAAGCAAGTGCGAAGACAGCGAGCAAATAGCGCCTTTTCCTGGTTTTTTGAACAATATTGGACACATTTTGTGAAACGCCCTGCATATTAAACTGTGCTAGTTCTTCAAAGATGATAAGCAAACGCCTCATTGATACGTTTTTTTTCTATTTCTATATCGAAATGTATCAGTAACTACTCGCGCTATCTTCACCTCTCACTCACGCAGTTTGAACCAGATTCTAGTCTTATAATTCCAGTTATGGCAAAGACAATATGAAGGATGTCATTCTGGTAGTATACGGTAGACCTCCCTTGACCTTTTTTTCCCGTACTTTCTTTCCTTAAATATTGTTTTCGGCCACCCTTACAAGCCTCGTTTTTTAAATAACTGTAGACGAAATTAAATGTGTACGTCTATCTGATTTCGTCATTAGCCACATTCCTTCATTAATAACAGGCTGAACATTATTATTACAATTTTTCACTAGCATGTCTATTGTTTAGAAGGGATGTAGGAGCATGAGTATGGATGCCTGCTGTGATTTCCAACACAAGTATTTATTTTTTGTTAACATAGCCATAAGAAGACTTTTTTTTCCTGCTCTTTTCAAAGTTCGGGAAAGCTATGGAGCCATACTCTTATATGCTTTGTTGACTAACTTTCTTCAGGCTGCCTTCAAAAACGCGATCGAATATAGTAAACTGCAAACAATCTTGTTAAAGCGCTTTTATTGTACAGCATGTATTAAGACACCACCGCAAACAAAACTATAAACTTACCAGAGGCAATTAATCCAACCTGGATGGAATCAAAGCTACTTACCCGATGCCTTTTTCCAGCGTATGTGTGGAGGGGGTTCCCCGTCAGCCTGACAGTCAACGACCACAGAGTGACCAGTGACCGCCACCACATCCCTGGGCTCGGATCGCCATGTCGGTGCAACTGCGTGTGAGTATCACTATTGCTGTGATTGATTGATTGATTCATTGATTGATTGATTTAGTGGACTACTATTGTTTACACCAGAAGCGAAAGTTGGGTTAGTTGGTGGTTCATGCTAGGATGTTAAAACAGCGCAAAAATATAGACAAAGACGGAAGAAAAGACGGCAAGGTGCTGATGTATCGTGCCTTGTCGCCTCTTCTTCCGTCTTTGTTTACATTTTCACGCTGTTTTCGCAGCCAAGCATACTTTTCGTTAGCTTAACAAAGCAAGAATTATTCAGCGTGGCCTAAGCCATCGTATGCAAATAATATTTTTATTCATTCATTCAACTTTGTTCGTTCGTTCATTCATTGGGGGCTCTGGATTATTTCTAACGGCCGTTATGAACGTGACCTGAATCATCGTATACGAACTATTTTTGTTCTGTTTCTTCTAATTACATTTTGGTTATATCTATGTGCGGTAGCGATGACGTGAATCAAGCCTTCCATATCAAACTCAACAGCAAGTTTTCATATCAAGTGAGCGACAGCGGAAGGTTGCTGGTTGCGGCAGTGTCGTGGTATTACAGCGCTGTAACATCGAAAGTCAATTTTTATTCACGTAAATGTCATATATATTCGATACTCTCTGTGTGTCTCCAAAGAAAATATTTACCACTACACAAGTTTTTCGTAATGATTTGGATCTGAATATTGTCTTTTATATGTCCAGGCTCAAGCGGTTACTCTGTTCACGATTAATGACTGCGGCGTGTAGTTGGTTGCAGTTGCTCAAAAGAGGCTGTGGCGAACAATGTATAAGCAGAACGTTATGCATCAGCGTTACTAAATGTTGGGGACTTACATACCAAAACCACAACATGAATAGGTGGCATGCGTATATAGGGATGAACCTATCAATTCAAATCTCCTAGGATTCTTCAACGTGCACCTAAATCTATGCACATCATTGTTCCGGCATTTCCTCTCCCTGAAATGTGGCAGCAGTGGTTGATAATTGAACCCGCAACTTCGAGTTTATACTCGAACCCGCAAATTCGCGTGATACCTTGCGCTAAGCAACCACGGCATGGTAATGTCTGAGCGTTAAACTACAGAAGGATCTTAGAAAGTGATTCGAGTCGCATAATATTAGTAAACGGAATAGAAGTAGCGACCTTTGACCCTGAGCACGGCACTGTACGTGGCCACTGCCCAGGCGTTGGAGGCGCGACAGGTGTAGTTGCCATTGTCCTGTGACGACAAGGACTCCAGCGAGAGCGTGGACACGAACCCGTCCTGGCGAACGGGTTGCAGGATCGGTGCGCCGTCCTTAAGCCACTCGATGACGATAGGCTTTTCGCCGGCGTGCACGAAGCAGCTGAGACCAGCGCGCATTCCTTCCTGCACGTCGTCCAGCCAACGAAACGGCGTGATCTGCGGACCAGCTGCGTACGAACAACGAGAAAGGAAACAGAAGCAAACCTTTTTTCATGGAAAGTGCTGGCTGTATTCAGAATTTTCGCAAGCTTGTTCTTTTAAGACATTGCAACAGGAGGCGACAAAAGCTCTGTTGAAATTCATTGAACAAGCGGCTGTAACAGCAGTGTCACACAACGCAAAAGACAAGACGATAGTTATAGCGCGAGAACAAAACGACGACACAGAGACAAGAAGGACACGAAAGACACGTGTCTCTGTGTCGTCGTTTTGTTCTCGCGCTCTAACTATCGTCATGCCATACCAATTAGCCCAAGCTGCCACACGCGAAAGACAAGACTGGACTATGACAGAGTGTGCATGCGCGCGTGTGCTGCCGAATGTGCTGTGATTATCTCTCTTCCCTCTCTGCTCTCTATCTTTTATCTCCCCCATCCACCTCCGATGCGCAGGGTAGCAAACCGGCTGCCTATAGGCTGGTTAACCTCCCTTCAGTTATTTTCATCCTTTTTTCCTTCTTTACTTGTTCTTTTGAGTGAAAAAATAAAGTTATTTTCATCATTACGGAGCAGGTTTAGGTTCTTAGTTTTCATGTCCCTAAACCACAATATTATCGTGAGGCGGGTGGTATAGTGCAGTGTATCAGTAATATCCGCATTCTAGCGTTCCTTAACTTACATCGTGCAGTACGCAGACGTCAGCGTTTCGCCTCCTTCTAGATGTGACCGTAGCGGCTGCGATACGATTCTCGACGTGCGAGTTAAGAACCGACAGGGTTGCGGGCCTATAAGGAGCCACGCTCCTAGCGAGCATAACACTAACATGCGTTTATAGAGTGTAGAAGCGTGAAGGAAAGCATCAAGCGACGGTAGAAGGGACTTAACGTGAGCGCTTACTGCTAAGGAACCCGTCATTAAAAACTACGGGTTACTATTTTATGACTAGCATATTCGCTTCACACTTTTTCTTGTAAACTACGAGAAATTTGAAGACCAGTAAGTCCGATATCTGAATAAGGTTAGTATAAAACCCGAAAGCGATAATGAGCGTAGTGAGAGCAGACAATAGTGAATAGATTAACGCAACATTCTTGAAAAATGATTCATGCATAACGGAGAACAGACTGTGATCGTGTGCGCCTTGACCTACAAAACTATGAATCCCCATGCACATCTCAGACGTCACTCGACTAGTGGCTTTATTCATTATCAGTCGCTTGGCGTCATGCATAGCTCACGTTCTGTGCGGCGCTCGCGGGATTGGCAGCGAAAAGATAAAAATGCTTGTTCACACCTACACTCAGAATCGGCCACGCGACCAAGTTAGTCATAAGTGGTCGCAAATGATCGCTATGGACGCAAAGCGACCGCTTTGGCTCGTGCTCATGCTGCCAGATTTTAGATACGAAGCACCTCGTGCACTCGGACTGTCGGCGTCTCCTGTTATCATAGCCCGTCAAGGTGTATCCTGTCACCACCTGTCTCAATGCCTTTCAAAAAGTGCTGGTGTGACACCTACATTAACTTCCTCACGCGGGATGTGTTCAAAGTCCATCGAAGTGCCACAACTCTACCGGCTCAATAGACCTGTCGCGGTGCTACAAGACAGTTTTGGAAGGGTCGTCGAATGGTTCAGGAGTTTCTCGTAAGAAATCGTGCGGCGCTGCGGTTCTTTATTTCGTATCTATGTCACGGCGGTCTTTTCGAGATCATCTGCAGGTCACCCATTTCAACTGCGATAACTGCAATTCCGTAGAAACCCTTGACCATGACCTCTGCCATTGTCCCGACTTCGACGGACTCTCCAGTGTGCCTCCAGGAGACTTAATTAATCGTCCCTTTCCTCAAGACCAGATCTTGGGCGCGTGGTCTTCAAGCTCATCGGTCCAGAAAGCAGCACGAGCCTCTCTACGACTCTTGAAGGCAACATCACTGAGCGACCACCTGTGAAACCCAGCACTGTTTGTGTGGTGCATGAGTGGCGTGCAATGTGCATCTGCTCCTCTCTCTTTATCTTTTGATCCGTCTTTCCCCTCTTACGAGTAGCGAGCAAACTGGACTTAGTCTAGTTAACCTCCCTACCTTTCTTATTCTCTCTCTCTCTGTCGAAGGGCGAATATACTTCATTCAATAATTCATAACCCTTTCATATGCTGCTTTTAAAGCATATTGGTTAGATTTATTTTTCTTTTCGTTCGCACGAACTCACTTTGAACGAAAGAGCATGTTCTCGCTGTTTCCGTGTCCGCTGCTGAATGTCCATTGAAGTTTCTAGAGAGTTGGAATGCTTAGTTAGCTCATTAGGTCATTGCCTCGGCAGCCTTTGAAGCATCCCGTTTAACAGTTTGAACGTGACGTTGGCTGAACCTTTGATTCAATGGACTATCGGTTGGAAGGTCCTCCCAACGCCCGAGTGACACGAATATAAAACGGCACGTCTGCTCAGAAAAAAGCTCACGATACAACGCCACGTGCACTCTTCTGGTTTCAACTTCCTGAGTTCACCCAGTAAAAGATGTTTCGGCTATGTACGCTTATTCTAGCAATGAGATGACGCGGTCCTGTCATTGCTGTTTGACGTGTCTTTATATGTGAGAAACCGAGGCTCAAAACCTCCCCAGGTTTGACGTTAGTGGAGCTGTTTCTCTATAGTGCCGGCGATAGACGATATCTTCGTTACATGTTCACTGCGGCTGGTAATCGAACCCATGTCATCACGTTTTTGATAGCTGCTAGACACACATACATTGTTCACCTTTTAGATGCGGAGCATCTAATACTCGAGGCTTGTAGTGCGGCGCCGTCCGCAAGCTTCCTCCTCCTTCTTCCACCATCTGTGCATCCCTTTCTCCTCTACACACCGCGCGCGCTTCACTCCTCCACCATCTGTGCACCCTTCCTCCTCTACACACCGCGTGCGCTTCTCCTCTTCACGAACATTCGCTAGCTGTATAATGTAGCGCGCATGCTAGGCGCTCACGCGGTTGACGTCGTGCGAGATCCCGTACTACGCAGAGTGGACGTGCTTTGCTTCACCGAGACGTGGAACGCAAATAACGTCGACGTTGCGGGATACGCTTCGGTCGCGCGCACGCACGGGTTCCAACGACCTGCAGACGGTGTGGGAATTTACGTCAAGCGTGACGTCGACAACGACGACGACTACTTCATTGATATCCGACTACAGCCCGGCGTTCAACAACGCGCCAACGGCGAGCACTGCGTTGCTACCGTCTGTGGCGTCGACGTCATGACGATGTACCTCGCGCCAAACCTCTCTCGTGCCGCCGTACAAAAGTACGTCGACGAGGCCGTGCAAGATTACAGAAAACAACAACCGCAACATCGACCGTTCATGCTAGTTGGCAACTTCAACGTCGACGTCATCAAGGACGATTGGATAGTCGAATACATGGCGTCGCGACACTCGCTGAAACGCGCAACGCACGACGACTGCAAACACCACCAGCCGACCACCATTCGCGGAACCTGCATCGACCACGTCTTTGCAAATTTCGACCTACGACCACTGCAACCCGATCCACTCACTCTTCACTTTACCGACCAAAAAGCCATCGTGCTCAAAGTTCGTCGCAATAAATAAACACCGCCCTTTCGCATACGTGTCGTACGTGTTCACTCATTTAACACCCCTCCTACAACCACGTTAACCAATTTAGCCAGCGACCCAAGTAAGTCGCAATTTAACACCCCATTTCACAACCACGTTAACCAATTTAGCCATCGACCCAAGTAAGTCGCACTTTAACACCCCGTTAACCAATTATATGCTCCGCATCCTCCTCAGTGTTCCCCCGAGGGAAGCTGCGGGCAATTTTTTATTTATTTATTTTTTGCTGACGCTTCAATGCGTTCACCTAACCTCTGAACCAATCGGATGGGCAGAACCAGTACGTCAGGACAATGATGTGAGCAAACGTGCATTCTGTGTCGCTATGTTTAGTGGTCGCGGAAGTTGTTGACATCGGTCGCCTTGAGCTGCCTTCTGGTCGCCAGTCGCAAATGATCATGCGGTTGGTACAATTCAAAGCTACTATCGAGCCTAAACCACATAGTTTGTTAGCTGGTGCACAAACAAAAAGCGGAGTTTGCAAACTTACTTCTGACAATGACCCGAACAAGTTGCTCAACAGATGTTCCATCCAGGTTTTCCACGACACAGGTGTAGTCCCCTTGTTCCTTGGTCTTAGTGAGGGTCTCCAGCAGCAGTGTGCCATTGGTGAACACAGTCTGCCTTTGGTTCATCGGCAATTCGCTTCCATCTGTACAGTGAAATGGGAGCTCAGTTTGCTGATACCTTGATGACAACCACAATATGTGGTTTGGGCGGCCGGTCACCAAGGGCTGTAGGGAAATGAACAGACCGAGCACTCTGTTCCCGAGCTATCTTCCATTCTTTAGAAGCCTACTCCCAATCAGACAATTCGGAGCTTTCATTCAAAAACGTTGCCCATTACTACAATAAAGAGCATCGGTGCTATTCGGACCCTTGTAAGGGATTGCATCACACTGGCGAGTACCTCCTTTTAAAATTGTTTATCAACGCTGTACTTTGCCCAGCGGGGTTAAAACATTTCAATTAATCTTTTAATGACACGTGCCAGTTTTGTGAAGAGGTGGCTGACATAGTCTGGGCGTGCCAGTCAAACCCATCAATCCCCCTCCCCACCCCAATCCTACGGGAGAGAATGTGGAGGCGGCCCTGCTTAGCTGTCAGGACCTGAGGCCCAAAGGTCCTAGTTCAACGGACGCAGGCGGCGTTGCTTGCCAATGGAAGTCCGGAATAGGGATGTCACCTAGTACTGTGAGGGAATGACGCCAGTGAGGCCCCAATCCAATCACCTCTCTGTAACCATTTGGTTAATAAATGTTTCACCACACGGAATCTCCCGACTTTAATTCTTGAGTTTTCAAACATGCTGTGGAGGAGTTTTCACTTCGCGTTTGCAATAACACCCGGGAGAAGTTATCAAGATTGGTAACTAAAAAACGCATGAGCAATATTTTTTTCCAAATTAGATATTACATAAAGAAACATGTCGTTCAAGGATTGTCTTGCGTAAAGAAAGAACCAAAGCTACGTACAAAGATAGTTAGCATGACAACGAAATTCTGAATTTTGTTACACAGCGTATATAGACATGCGAATAGCTTTCGACGAACAAGACAAACGCGGTTGAAGAAACAACAACTTGTTTTTATCAGAGCATTCTATGTGATTTCGCAAAATAAGCCATGAGTCATTTTTGTGGGGGGAACTTTACATTGTCTAGGTCTCATTGAAACTAAATTTCAATCTTTGTGCTGCGGCACGTATCATCATTCCGTCCGTTGACCTAAATTACTGGAAATGACACCTGTTCTTTACTTGAACAAGAAAAAATAGCAAAGCAGGCTTCCTGTTGACTGTGGTATACAAAAAACGGGGATTTTTGCGTCCGATTAGATTTCATCACAAGGTTGCGTGTATAATATAGTACATTGAATCAAAATTCAGTATTGTATTTCAATATAATACACCACAATACAATATAACACAATACAATGCAATAAAATACAATACAAAGCAATGCCCTACAACTCAATACAGTTACAACTCACCACAGCACAATGCCATAAAATACAATACAACACAATACGGTACAGGGTCTCGGCCGAATTCTTTAGGAGGGGATAGATATTTCCGCTCAGAAAAACCATGGTGAGTTCCATTTAGCTGAATGCTTCCAATATGTTACCAGTTCCTTCGCGTTTTTTTTTAACCAATGGGTTGCGTACCTTTGAACCAGCTGACCTTGTCGTATGGATATCCGCCGAATGGACACTGCAGCGCTAAGGAATGACCTTCCAGCGCCGTCGCGTTGTACGCCGGCCTCATAAACAGGGGACCCCGCACGTCCAATCGGAATACGTGCTCAGCCCGACCCGCCACGTTGCTCGCCAGGCACTGGTAATGACCGGAGTCGGACGTCTCCACCGAAGTCCAGTTGAGGAAGCTGACTGCGTCCCCCGTCGCCGAGTCAATGGTCGACCAGAGACGCAACCTCGGTCCACCTCCAATGATGGGCCACGCACCATCTAACGTCCACGTGATCGAGGGCGCTGGGTCACCCGACGCCCGGCACCCTAGGCTCGCGGGAGTCTTGGGATTCAGTATGCCTGTGGTGCCGTACGTTCGCTCCATGCGTGGGGCACGCTCTGTGAGTTTGTGTATTCGAAGCTGTGTTAGTACAGAAGTCATATCAGGTGAATTTTTAACAAGTATTATTCAGTTCAAAAATTAGCCTCGGTACCACTGGCATAGATGACTTTCCTGAGGTACAAGCACAAAATTTCGCATACGTTCTTGCGGTCTATGACGATGGTCATCATGTTCATTCCATACTACAGGTAACCCGAAACCTCTATGAAGAAGAGGCTGCAAAAATTGGCAAATTGAATAAGTAAAAATTTGGCAGATACCATGTACCTTGAGATTCGACGTTGTGCGAAGCAAGCGGAAGGAAGGTGAGCGTGTCTCACTTTTTATTGAGCGACACGTCATAAAATGTCGCTAATTGCATGTACAAATTTCGCACGCACAGACATAAGTTGAAGAGTTGCAGATGTTTATATACCCAGTTGTTCGCACTTGCGCAACGATAGGAACAAGCATATTAGCAACACCAGAAGCTGATATGAAGCGCTGATGCTCACGAGGGTGTGGACCTATACACTGCTACATAAATCAACTTCAGCGCATGACACCTAACAACAATTTCTGTTAAACCGACGTGACGGCTGCATCAAAGGAGTACAATGTAATGTTTATAAAATTGGATATGGAGCACTGCAACCACTATTCACATTTCACGAAGATTTGCGTCTATTTGAAAAGTGGTTCTGAGACCTGGAGTAGCTCTGTGTTAGGATGCTTCATTGCTACGCAGAATGCTTTGGTTCGATTTAATCTGGGACCCTGAAATTTATTCTCTACATTCATCGGGTCGACGCTACCGATGTCAGGTATTTATTAACGCTCGCGCGTTCAATTTACCCATGCGTTTTCTCGCCGTTCCTCGGTAGATACTAAGTGTCAATCACCTGTGGTACATACACGCATATCAGTGGCACATACTCGCCAGAGGGTATGTGCCACTGTCTGGCGGGAAGTGTTTGACGACATACGCGACGGAAATGTGATATTATTGATGTTTTGACCAGCGCGTCATATTCGTCGAACCATCTTACCCCCTCATGCTAATTTTGGCCTACGCTACGTTAAGGGGCGATCACGCGAGCGCCAAAACGTAAGCAGCTATATAGATAGATACGCTCAAAGTCGCTGAAGTTCGCTAAAGAATGTTTCGATTCAATATTGAAAGTATTGAAACAGAAAAATATGCATATATGAAACAAAAATGTTTCGCTATTGAAATGTCAACTATGTAACACCAACCTGTTTTTACATTTATTATTTTCTTCTCCTTTCATATCACCTGTGTAGGCTAGCAAACTGCGTTCAATCTGAATGAACTCCCTGTCTTTCTTTTGCATATATCTTTGTCACTTATATTCACATAGCTGACAGTGCGGTAGCAAAGCAGGTAATCACACTTACCTCAAACGCCTCGCAGGGTTTTGTACACATACTTACCAAGACTGCTACACCTATGGATCGAATATTTAAAAAATCACATTGCTTCGGGCTAAGGCAGAAAGCAGCAGCCAACACCAGGATTCAACCATCGACCAATCAATTCTGAGGCTAGTGCTCACCTCCAACTACAAGCTCAGCCGTATCCTGCGCAGCCCTGCGTCCGTCCCTGGAAGTAGCGAAGCACTGCAGCATGCCACCCTGGTGCCGGGCCACAGCAGCGATTCGCACGAACCCTCGCTCGAGCCGCTGAAATCCCAGCGGAAGCGGCGACCCGTTCAGGCGCCACTCGAGTGACGCTTCGCTGCTGCTCGCGTTGCACTGGAAGGACACCGAGTCACCGGCCTCGGCACGAACCAGGCGTGGACGGATGCTGACGGAGAGCTCACCTGCGGACACATATCGTGATCAATAATGCAGGAATGAAACTTATTGAGGCAAAAATCTCAGATGCCTCATGAAAAACAGAAATTGGCTGTCAGCGCGTCAACACGAGTGATGCAAACAATAATCATCATGCGATAACTTCGCCACATGGCATCAAAGTACACCAATACTTGTGGCGTCAAAAGGGCGTCATCATGGCGTCACTATCGCTTCGCATAAATACGTCATCACAAAACGTCGTCACTTAGTCAAAGGTGGGCCGATCATGGAGACAGTGTAAAACCAGGTGAGGTGCAGAGAGCTTGAAATACCTCTGATCGTAGAGGCAGTGCGAAACTGCGTTACGTTCAAAAAGCTTTCGCAAGTGTGCGGGAGAGGATCAGTGCATCGACTGAGAAGCCCGTTGACCCCATGAGCTTTAATAGAAATGACTACACGAGGCCGAAGTGTGAGTTTTGATTTTAGGAACGAAGCTCCTTATAGCGACTCCCATTCGTCTCTCGTAGCCGTTGTAGTGTGTAACAAGTATAACGCTTTGACCTCCAAGGTGGTGCCGGTGAGAGATTTTTTTCTGTGCGTTGTTGAACAATAAAAAATAGTGCTCAATGTACATGCCAATGGCTGCTAAGGGGGAATGAGAGACAGGAAAATTCGGCTTTTAGTTAACGCGCACGCTGCGAATTTTCTATTGTTCAACAACGCACAGAAGACAAGAATGCGTTGCTACGTTATACTCGTTGGGCGTAACCTCCTAGGTTTTAGAGAGGTTTAGCGAGTGTTGGGCCGCAGTGCCATGAATACAGTGTGTATCGTATCGCACCTCACTCGTATCGCGCGATGCTCAACAGCAGCGCAGTTTTCGTCGAAGCACGACGTGCTTCGACAAAAAGTGCACTGCTGTTGAGCATCACTGGAGAAGAAGCCATAGAGGTGTACAACACCTTCAGTTTCACTGAATACCAGGACAAGAATGACTACGACGTGGTAATCAAAAAGTTCGACGACTATTGTGCGTCTCAAGTCAATGAGGTACATCAGCGTTATCTGTTCCGTACCCTAAAGCAAGAACCAGATGAGCCTTTTGAACATTTTTACGAGACTTGAAGACGAAGGCAGGAGCGTGCAATTTTGGAGAGCAAGCAGATTCAATGATAAGAGACCAAATTGTTTTTGGCACAAACGAAGCTAAGACTCGAGAGAAGCTTTTGTCCGACAACAAGTTAACGTTACAAAAGGCCGAATCCTTCACTCATTCAGGCAATGCTGCAGATTCCTGAGCCACGCGAAAAGCAAGCAGCACAACGAATGCTAGGGGTTGTGAACTACTTCGGCAAATTTATTCCACATTAGCTGAGAGGACACAGCTACCCGACTACCAGTGTGGCCCTTCCCACCGAGTCATCAAGCATCGTCAGTCTCGACCGTCTACACAGCCACTAGCCCCACTCCATGAAGGCGACGTTGTGCGAGTCCAGAGCGGCTCGTGGGCCACCAAAGCACGGGTTCTGAAGCCGTCAACATATCCAAGGTCGTACCACGTAATCACACAGGAAGGGCGCTGCCTCCGGCGCAACCGCAAGCACTTGCTACCGACTGGAGAATCCTTCCAGCAGGGCTCTGTTCCCAACGGGAGAAACATAGAGCCAAGGACCTCGACAGCTGCCCGGCACGTCGAAGACAGTGCCAAGCAATGACCCAACTACCGCGGGCACACAGAGTAGTCCAACGCCAGCACTCAGAAGGTCGCTGAGAACGCAAAGACCACCACCACGACGACTAGAATATGACCAAGACTTTGAACAAATTGCTTGAACTCTCCCTTTGTTTCTATATGTTCTTCATTTGTTACGAAGTGCCACCTCAAGCTATCGTGTTTTCCGCATATGTAAATAACTGCACAGTTTCCTTGTTTTCCTAAGGAAAAAGGATGTATCGAATCGCGCCTCACTAGAGCGCTACGCACGATAAGCTCAAGGGGCTTCACCTGATCTTGATACTATCGCGTGTTGATCAAAGGGGCGTTGCCCAGAGTGTATTATAAATGTGACTGACTGAATAAACGGGGCAGCACTAGCTGCCTGACGCACCCACCTGCTGTCACGCTGATCCCTGGTCCCATACACAGTGAACTAGTACCATGAACTCGGGGTGGTTAAAGGTGGGAAGTAGACACGAAGCGTAAGCCGTAAGAAAGAGTGCGTGTGCCTCCTCTCGTTCAGTCCTCCGAATGTCCGCTGGATGGCGGTGCTTTTATATGAGGAATATATGATGCAAAGATGCGAGATGGTGGTACTTGGAGTGTTGAATAGGTGGACAAACGGACACACAGACAAATGCCTGAACGGACACACAGACAAATGCATGAACGGACACACGGATGGCTGCACGGACGGATGGGCGCATGAACGGACGCAGGAGCGGATGCATGGACGAGAGCAGGGACGGACGTACAGATGAACGTGCGCACGCATGAACAGACGCACGCACGAACGGGCGGATGGACGCACGGGCGGCCACACAGACGCACGCATGGATGGACGGAAGCAAGAACGAATGGACGGACGGATGCTGCGCTTCACTATCCATTGTTTACTCCGTGGACATGCTGCCATTTTTTTACTTCATAATATACTCTCATAGAACATTCGTGCTAGTGTTCCGGCAACCAGTCTACTTAGTGTTCGAAAAATATGTAGCTTCTGGTTCAGAGGTCACTTTCACAGAGCCCTTGTTTCCTCATAGTTAATTGCTATTGAACGGGCAGCTTCCGCAGATCATACTGCTGCATTTTCCCGTTCTACCTCAAATCCCCCCTTGTACTGCCGTAACGACGAAATTTTATCGGTGTTAACGTTGACGGCTCAACTGCTTCTGCAATGGCTGATACTTGGGCACATGTCTCTGTGATGAGGGCTCGAATTCGGCGCCGCATGTCCTGAAGCGCTTTGATTGACGCCAGCCCCACGTGTACATAGCTTTGGGCTCCATTTCCAAGACGTTAACCATGCAATCTGACGTGCTATTTAGGCATTCTGAGACATTTTCTCATCACCAGCGCCCACCATTTCGCAGCTGGTAACAGTCAAGCCATTTCGGGTCACCCTGCGGAGCTTTCTACATAAGCTTGCTGACGAATGTACTTACTCTCGCCTCTTCCTGTATTACTCGTGTCCCTGACGGAAGTCTTGAGTGTGCAAAGTACGAACCACAATCGCCGGTCACCACGCATATGTTTTCCTCGTTGTTCTTGAGCAGCACCCAAATGCCGCCACGCTCGAATTAGATTTCTTGTCGACACATGCCGCCCTCATTGACTTCAATAGTGTAAGTCCTCTTAATGCGCCTAGAAATGACTACACGAGGCTGAAGTCTGAGTTTTGATTTTTGTTTACCTCATCATATACCCTCACAGAACATTCGTGCTAGTGTTCCGGTAACCAATCTGCTTAATGTTCGAAAATCTGCAGCTTCAACCTCTATGTCTAGGATCACGTGGCACAAAACCGCGCGCGGTGCAAGGATAAATGGCTATTAAATTTTTACATGGCTGCCTTTCGAAAACAACTTGCGGATGTGGCATGTGTAGTGCCCCACCTTAATTTCAAGAGAGTGCATCTTGTTCTCTTCAACTATAAGCACAAGTATACTTAGCGAGCATTATGCCACCTCACATACAGTTATAGTATGCTTTCCCTAAATACAAATAACCGATCAGCTTACTTTTAAATTCGAATGAATTGACTTGAATTCTGGTTTATAGCGATTCAATTTATAATGTTAGTGAACTGGTAAACTTAATCCGGCAGTAAATGTTTCATTGAAGAAACAAACTCACACCTCCTTTACAGCACACTCCAGTGGACCTATTTTGTTGGCTTCACATTGTCGAAATGGTTTGTTACTAAAAAGCCACAGTTTCTCCTCCTAAAGAGGAAAGCTATGAACGCGATAGCAATTAATTTAAATGTGAAGAAAAAAAAGTGGGTGAAAAGATAAGTTGCCGGTAGCAGGAACTGAACCTGTGTGACCTTCGAATAAGGAAAATAGGCATATATATACTATAATATTATATATATATATATATATATAATATATATTATATATATATTATATATTATATATTGTGAGCGCGACAAGCGAATACTCTTCATTCTCTTTAGATATCATCGTCATCTGTAAATATCATCCCCAGTGTGGTTTAGCTCGAGCCTGGCTGAATAACCGGTTCCTCACAATATATATATATATATATACTATATATATATATATATATATATATATATATATATATATAATATATATATATATATATATATATATATATAATATTATATATATATATATATATATATATGTGTGTGTGTGTGTGTGTGTGTGTGTGTGTGTGTGTGTGTGTGTTGTGTGTGTGTGTGTGTGTGTGTTGTGTGTGTGGTGTGTGTGTTGTGCGTGTGTGTGTGTGTGTGTGTGTGCGTGCGTGCGTGCGTGCGTGTGTGTGCTGTGTGTGTGTGTGTGTGTGTGTGTGTGTGTGTGTGTGTGTGTGTTGTGTGTGTGTGTGTGTGTGGTGTGTGTGTGTGTTTTGAAGAAGGAGGACAGATTCAAATTATGACACAAAGTCTGGCAAGTGGAGATCAGAACAGCCCTTCAAATCCGGAGAAGGGGAATGGGAGCAGAAGAGAGATAGAGGACGATTGAATATAATCTTATTTTAGTTACCCCTTTCTTACACAAAGTATGCAGGACAATAGATCGTATCTATTAATTAGGCATTAGCTACTAAGTCGATGCATGACAAACTTATCAAGCATCCACGCTTCGTTAGCGCCGTATATAGAAACGAGAACGCCTACATCCCCGTTGCGCTGAACCCTTGGGCTCAAGGCAGCGCTGTGATACACCATCAAGCATAATATATACTATATTGATTAGCAGAGGTGTCGATAGTAGGGTGTTTGTCTTTGCCGCCCTTACCAAGACAATAAAGATTCATCCCACAACTCGCTTTCTCACAGAAGGTACTACACCGGAAGCAAGTCTGGACGACCGACCTGCTTTTGCTTCCTGTTGTTTTTCCTGTTTTCTTTTCTGCTCTTGATATCTGCAGATTCACAAGAGATGTTAGTGACATTGACGATCACGCTAGATACGCGTAAAATGCTGAGAAGAGAAAGCCTTTGGAAACAAGATAAAGATCGTCAGAAAAGAACTCGACCAGTCTCAGGTTACGGTCAGATCACCGCGCCCCACCCGGTTAGTTATAGTATAGTGTAGTCCTAACAGAGCAACGAAGAACAGTTGATTCGCGCCCTGCGGCGTGTCAGTGCCACGCTGGATTCATAATTCGTGTTTCCCATTTTCATTCTCACTTCTGTGGCAGTTTAGACGCACCGAAATATTACAGCGCTAAGGATAACGATGTTTTCAACATATACTACATCCATCGCTGAGTCTACAAACATACGCTGCATTTTTCGCGTTGTTAGTACGAAGAGACATTGTACTATTGCGTTACATTGTTTCAAACGTTTGCGTTACCACTACCTTACTTTAATCCTGGTGACGCGTGCTGCATTAGTTCCAGGTTAAAGCGTTCTAAAGCAACTTCTGTGCAACGTTAGACCATTGTAAAATATCCGACACATCCCCAATTTTTTTCCAAGATTTTTGTGGCTCCTACCGCCCCCAATATCACCCGACACTTTTCAATAAATATTTTACTCACTCCGACCCCAAAGCAAGACTTTAAACACCGGTGGAAGTGTAAAACACAGAAACACGAGACTTTCGTAAAGCCGTCAAGTTATGCAAACCAACACACGTGTCAAACAAGACGAGAAATAAATTAACACAGATACTATATTTGAAGGTTGCTCGTCCATTAGAGTAACAATGTAGACGAGGATAACTGGCTAACCAGTAATTTTGTGTAACGGCACACACTTTCCCATTTATTTTAATTACGTGTCACTTGCAGAAAAATTTTGCTTCGTGTGGATAAAAAGAACGTTTATTGTTCACTCAGTGACAGTTTCACGTACGCAAGCGGCTTGTGTGCTTTCTGGTCTCATGAAACTGAATGATTTTTTTTTTCGAGTGGAACTACAACAGCGCAGTGAGTTTGCGATCCTCAAATACTGCATACATCTGTACGCAGCTTCCTTTCTCTGTTTCTATATTCGAACGATAAAGAAGTTACTGATTCTAATATTACAACGTAATCGAGTACCTCTCATAAAGGTGCACCCACCATACACGCAAAGCTATTACTCGTATCACACGCACTAGCACAACACAATCGAGTGCCTTGATCGGCCCGATGCCACTCCTCCCCGTCTTGACAATGCGTGGGTCGCTCCGATCAACAGAAGTACTAGACGCAAACAACGGCAGTTAACGTCTCGTGATCGCGCTGATTGCTAAATATTTATGCCATCATATGTTTCCTGAAACTGGTGGTTCCGACTACATAGCTATTTTCACCATCTGGGTTTCCTACTGATCCACTGATTGGGGACATAGTTACGACTACAGCATATGACAATAGTCAAAGGCTACTGAGATCGAGCAGGTCAGGAGATTGTGGCCGTAGCTCAATCGGCTCATCTACACCCACCCCCCCTGCAAAAAAAAATTAACAGAGTATGCGTTTTTATTTTCTGTGACGTCCCACTTGCCTCGTATACGACTCCTTTTACAAATACTTGTTAACTTTCTTTTGGATCAGACGATAGTGTAATTATCTACAGAGAGTCCACGCGCCTCTTTAAAGAAAGTTTTATACATGCAAGTCATAACTCACAGAAAAGCGTCAAATAACGCCTCTTAAATGTGAAGCATTTCTTTGCGTACTGATACAATTTCGGTATCTATCTATCTATCTATCTATCTATCTATCTATCTATCTATCTATCTATCTATCTATCTATCTATCTATCTGTCTGTCTGTCTGTCTGTCTGTCTGTCTGTCTGTCTGTCTGTCTGTCTGTCTATCTATCTATCTATCTATCTATCTATCTATCTATCTATCTATCTATCTATCTATCTATCTATCTATATCTATCTAGCCACTTACGTCTGGGTGCTTTCGTGATGACCCCTTTAACTTAGTGTGAACTAAAATCAGTATGGGGGTTCAGATGGTTTGACAAATATGACACGCTGGTCCAGACATGAATAACCTCACTGTCCCTTCGCGTACATCGTCAAACACTTCCAGCTAAAGAGTGGCACATACCCGTGGGCCTCAGGTATGCGGGTATGTGCGACAGGTGATTGGCAGTTCATATTTACCCTGGAACGATGAAAACACACACGGGCAACTTTAGCGCGTGATCGTTAAGAAAAACCTGACATCAGCAGCATTTATCCGACGAATGCAAAGCATAAATGTTAGGGTCCTAGTGGGAATCGAACCCAAGCATTTTGCGGAGCAATCAAGCATTCTATCACAGAGCCACGCTAGGTCTTGGAGCTACTTCTCAAGTAGACCCTACTGTTCGTAAAACGTGAAATAAGGTTGCAGTGCGGGCGATCATATTTTACAAACATTACTCCTTTGATGCAGCCCTGATGTTCGGGTCATGTCAACGGTCGTTTGGTGTCATGCGCTGAAGTTGGATTACGTAGCAGTGTCCAGGACTACCTTCCTCGCGAGCACCAGCGCACCATATCAGCTTCGATTGATTGATATGTGAGGCTTAACGTTCCAACACCACTAAATGAATATGAGAGACGCCGTAGTGGAGGAATCCGGAAATTTTGAGCTCCTAGGGTTCTTTAATGTGCACCCACATCTGAGCACACGAGCCTACAGCATTCGCACAACCATCGAAAATGGTATCATATCAGCTTATCACTTATGGTGATGCTAATACTTATGTTCCTGGATTAACGTTATGGCTTAACGTTCCAACACCACTAAATGAATATGAGAGACGCCGTAGTGGAGGGATCCAAAAATTTTGATCTCTTGGGGTTCTTTAATGTGCACCCACATGTGAGCACACGAGCCTACAGCATTCCCACATCCATCGGAAATGGTATCATATCAGCTTATCACTTCTGGTGATGCTAATACTTATGTTCCGGTTGGCATCATTGTGTAAGTGCTAAAAACTGGGTATATAAACATTTGCAACTCTTACACATATGTCTGCTCGTGCAACATTTATACGTATATTTCGCGTAATTTCATGACTTGTCACTGAATAAAAATATTACAACACAGTCACCTTCCTTCCGCATGCTTCAGATAACGTCAACTCCCAAGGTGCGAAGAATCTACCAAATTTTTCTTTTCACAGAGTGCCTTCCAGGGGACTGTCGAATAACCTTGAGGCCTCTCCTTATTTTTTTACTGAATTTTCACTGCTTTCCTTTTGTATCTACGTCAATCTCTCTCTGACATGAAAAAAAATTTTCAAGTAAAATTGCTCATAAACCCCTCCCTACTGACTTTCAAGGGATTCATCAACGCTGCATTGATACTTTTTGTTTTGAAAAATACCCAGCGAAAGCCCCCAAAATTAGAATCTAATGATAATTGTGCCGAGCTCTTTGACATTGCCCTTATAGTCCTCTTGCAATATGGTGCTCAATAAGCCGCCGTAAGATTCTGCTATTTCCATTGAAGTGGCACAGAAACAAAATACTATGGTATATTATTCGCAAACAACTACGATTATTGCGAAACAACGGTACTAATGGTAAAATGGTGACCCATAGCCCCGCCGCGGTGGTCTAGTGGTTAAGGTACGCGGCTGCTGACCCGCAGGTCACGGGATCAAATCTTGGCTGCGGCGGCTGCATTTCCGATGGCGGCGGAAATGTAGACCCGTGTGCTCAGATTTGGGTGCACGTTAAAGAACCCCAGGTGGTCGAAATTTCCGGAGCCCTCCACTACGGCCTCTCATAATCATATGGTGGTCTTGAGACGTTAAACCCCACATATCAATCATCGATCAATGGTGACCCATATTGACTTATTTTCACCTCGCCGTTCGGAAGAAAACGAGGCTGAGTGCCTTCGTCGTATTATACCAACGCGTCCTGGAAAAACTATGCCTGGAACGCGGCTCTCTCTTCGATTGAGAGCTTGCTGCCAGCACAAAAATTTTGGATGTCATGCCTCCTACCGCTTGTTGCGACCGTCCGCCGCGTGGGACCACTCGCCTCCGTACTGCTCTGTCACGTGACATTGTTCTGTCACGTGACATTACAGCTGCTCGGTGGCAACTGTGAGAGCATTGCTGCGTTCGCAAAGGGCGACCGCCGCAGGCGTTCGCCTCCGTACTGGAGGGGAAGGGTAAAATCTGAGGGTAGCGCGGCCCGTTCGCGGCTCATGTTCCAGGCATAATTTTTCTAGGAGGCGTTGATTATACTAAACACTCCGCGGAGCGAATAGCAACGTATTACGTATTTAAGTATAATGATTACAGTAGCTCGTACACTTACCAATCACTGAAAGCGTTAGCGTGGCCTTGGCATCTCCCATGCTGTTTGCCGCTACGCACACGTACTGTCCATCGTGCTCGGGCAGAACGCCTCCACTCCAGTGAAGGACGCCGTCCAGCGCAGTGGGCGTTGGGGAGGGAGGCAATGGCATTAGCCTCTGCCCCTGCTTCCGGTACCACCTGTAACCATGTGACCACAAAAGGGATGTTAGCCTGGGTGTAGCGTTCAAGTATGCCTAGCCAGGATAGTCAGATGCAAGGACGCACGAAGGCACGATTCCTTGCCCCCCACCTCCACCTTGTTCACCGGCCGGAAGCCCTATAGCGTCTCCAATCAATGGCTTAATTTATTGATTCATATCCAAATTTTCATGGCTCTACTTATTGACTTTGTACGCCTCGCTCAAAGCACAGCTACTTAAACTTCCAAGGATCCTGAGGGGGCGGAAAAAGAACACCGTTAAGACCGGACGAAGAAAGGTGACCCGAGGACTGCCAACTAGAAGTTTTATTGAGAACACTCTTACTTTAAAAAAAAATATTTCACCCACATCATCACTGTTTGTTACTTTTTTATGTGCTGTGATGTAAAAAAGAACTGAACTGAATGTTTAGATACCCGAAAAAACAAAAAAAAAGATTACGTAATAATTTAGTGACACGCGTGACGACAGGTACCTGATTTCTTTTTCGAACAGATCATGTGACGGAACGCTCGCACATCACTCGCAACTTTCGTGGATAGCAAAGTGCTCGAGTATTAGATGCGGAAGCATCTTATACTCGCGCCTTGTAGTGCGCCGTCCGCGCCGTCCGCACCGCTTCTCGAACATTAGACAGCTGACGCGCGCGCATGCGCCGTCGCGCCGTCGCCCACCATCTGTGCCGCGCGCGCTTCTCCTTCGAGAACATTCGACAGCTGACAGTGCATGCGCCGTCGCGCTGTATATATACTCAAGGTCGGCGCTCGCTCACTCAGTTGCCGCTCGTCGGTTGGTTTGTACGGCGCGTCGACGTCCAAGGTCGCGGTGAAATGAATTCCAACGAATCCACAAACACAATGATCGACGTCCCTTCAACCAGCGCCGCCCTTTCGCATACGTGTGTACGTGTTCACTCATTTAACACCCCCTCCTACAACCACGTTAACCAAATTAGCCATCGACCCAAGTAAGTCGCAATTTAACACCCCATTTCACAACCACGTTAACCAATTTAGCCATCGACCCAAGTAAGTCGCACTTTAACACCCCGTTAACCAATTATATGCTCCGCATCCTCCTCAGTGTACCCCCGAGGGAAGCTGCGGGCAATTTTTTTCCCGTGCCCGCTTTTGGCGATAGCGTTTAAGTACAATGTCAGACCGACCGGAGGTGCACTCAGGCGTGGCACAATGTGCGGCAAGATTGCTATAGACGCCAGTTTTTAATTAAGTGGCATGTTGCCAAAGACTCTGGTTGATGCACCACCCAATATGTTCCACGTTTACCATGTCGAATGAGCTTTGAGGCTGCTGAAAACACCACATGGACAACAGCATGTCCAGCCGGTTTTTGACCCTATGTGAAGCCCCGTGTAAGTAAGGGTTGCTGCTACATTCCGGTTCTGCTCTCATTCTTCCCCAGTACGATGCCCATTTATCTCCGTCAGTACACAAGCAGCTGTTGTGAGAATTCCACGGCGAACAATCTCGCAACTTGGTTTGAAAAAACTGGGTCATACCATGTTGGTGCAGGAGCGGAGTGAGACATAACTCATGGTGAACAGCGCAATGCCTCTTTTTACAGCCTTCGAGTGAGCGTAGCTGAACGGCAGAAAGCTCTTCTTTGATAACGAGGAACATTCCCAGCAGATGTGGTCATGTTGAAAGTGTAAGACGCGTTTAAAAAAAAACTTTTACTGCTGCCGAATTCACTAGTGAGCTTCAAAAAACCAATAGTGAGCTGGGAGATCCCGATAATGCTTTGTGCTCTCTGTTGATGCGCCCCCGATATGAAGGTAAAAAAATAAGAAAGTTGTCTACATAACGAAAAACATCATTATAATCATAATCATCATCATCAGCAGCAGCCTGAATACGTCCACTGCAGGACAAAGGCCTCTCCCATGTTCCGCCAGTTGACCCGGTCCTGTGCTCGCTGCTGCCAATTTATACCCGCAAACTTCTTAATCTCATCTGCCCACCTAACCTTCTGTCTCCCCCTAACCCGCTTGCCTTCTCTGGGAATCCAGTTAGTTACCATTAATGACCAGCGGTTATCTTGTCTACGCACTACATGCCCGGCCCATGTCCATTTCCTCTTCTTGATTTCAACTATGATATCCTTAACCCCCGTTTGTTCCCCGACACACTCTGCTCTCTTTTTGTCTCTTAAGGTTACACCTACCATTTTTCTTTCCGTTGCTCGCTGCGTCGTCCTCAATTTAAGTTCAACCCTCTTTGTAAGTCTTCAGGTTTCAGCTCCGTAGCTAATTACCGGCAAGATACAGCTATTATATACTTTCCTCTTGAGGGATAGTGGCAATCTACCTGTCATAATTTGAGAATGCTTGCCAAATGTGCTTATTCTTCTAGTTCGAAACACATGAACAACCCCAAACCCCACATACCAGAACACACGAACCACCCCAAACCCCTTAAGTGTTCAGAAACTACATGGTCATAGCGGGCATACAGGAAGTCGCTGAGAACTGGTGCCAAGCAGGAGACGATTCATAAGCTTGTCTTTCGCTCATAGTAGGTGCCATCATACACTTCGAGGGAGAAGCACAAATGAATCGGCAGCAGTTCAAGGAATTTACTTGGTCTTTAGAGACCTTAGAACACATCCTGCGCTTCTGTCTAATTATGGAAGGCCCGAGAGACACCATCAAGAGGTCATATCGCATGATGTGTCTGGCTCGCATCATCGTGAATGAGCTGCTCTTCCCGCCGGAATTCCATGTTCTAGCCTTACACGCGTTCCTGAAGTTCGCCGACGCGGCTGACCTCAAGTCCTTGTGAGTCTTCCTGACGGCAAAATCTCCTGAACCCACGCCACTTCGCCCAATACGATGATGATCTGCTGCTGAACTCTACCCCTACTTTATCATCTTCCCCCTCACTTCTCCTTTCTCACAGGCACTGAGAAGTGTCCCCAACCTGGGAGACAGAAACATGTGTCTCATTTTTTTTTTTACAATCAATATATTCACTTGTATTCGTGCCATACCAGTTCTGCAAACGCACTTCGCAGAGTTCCTCGATGGCATCCTGAACAACAGCCAGAACTTCGTGCGGAAGGTAATAGTAGAGGTTCTTTACATCCACGGGCTGGGTGAGCACATCCGGATGTCTCAAACGTACTGAGAACATCGAAACTTCTGCGGGACTTCTGACGGAGGAAGGGTCTCTAACTGGTAGTGCCGAAAGGGACGATTGCAACTAGGTCTTGCCCCTATCGCTGCCAAGTTCCTCTTCCTGAGGCAACGCCTCAGAAAACACACGCTTCTCTAGGCATCTTCGCCAAGAAAAAGATGCTCAACGTCAAAGGAGCGTGCGGGAGATACTCGAGGACTGCCATCCGCCAAAGCAGCGAGGGATGCGTAAGCGCTCCGTCACTTGATCTGTTAAATAAATTAACTATTGTACACCATGCACATGATTAAAATTCTAAAGTGAATGTCCTTTTGTGTATCTATGTATTCTTAATTCCTTAAATAAGACTTTGTGTTGGCAGTCAGCGCACATCATCTTGTGAAGTTTGTTCGTCCAGCCGTAACGGCGATCTTTTTTTTTTCACTTTTGAGTTGTGTGCCAACCGGTCCACTTTTCACCGCTCTTTTCTAGGTGGATTAGATGTATCATAAACATTTTGGCAAAACAGTTCAAGAAACAAAACAACGAACGCAGTACTGACGGCTTTTTTCTTTCTCGTAGTAGAATACCGGTACTTTGAATCGTTAGCAACTAAACAAACAGCCTCTGTTTTTTTTTCGTCTTTCTTCCAATGTTCTGCGAAAATGTTCAACTTTTAGAATGCGTGCTTTACAATTGAACGCACTACGCCGATACTACTTAGACAACCAGTTAATGAAGTCTTTAATTTCCTAAAGACATAAATTTGGAGGTTTTCGCGTTTCAAAACTATAATATGATGTCAAAGCTTACCATAGTTGCCGACTCCAGAATAATATTGATCGCACTAAGATTTTGTTTCGTATGCATTAACCCGGGTAAACATTTCTTCAGATAATTTTTCTCGATCAAAATGTGACTGCAGCGGCCAAAAGTTGAAACAGATTTCTCATGAATAACGAAGTAGCATAAACAGTGAATGTTTCAAAAGGCTCACTTGTACTTAGGTGGTGGCCATCCTTGGGCGAGGCAGACAAGGTCAGTGGGACGACCTTGCTCAACAGTCACGTGACCCGAGTGGAATGTGATAGAAGGTATCTCGCTTCCCGGTGGTTCTGCATAAACACAATAAATTGTGTGCTTGTTGGGAAAACAAGGAAACGAAAAAATCACCGCCCAAGCACACCGTACAGATGGTTAACCAGCGAGGTAGAAACGTTCAGCTACAGGAGCTCGCACACAGAGCAGCCGAAGCCAAAGTGTGGCCAGCAAAACTCCCACTGAAAGCGGGCGTCTGTCCCGGCGAATAGATTTCCGCCACTGTCACATTGACGCTGCTTTGCCCGCAACGCTGCTTCCTGGGCTTGCCGTTGTCGTTTGCATTCGGCTCGTAAGACTGCCCGATTCTCGATACGCAGTTGCTAATGCGCTTCGCCACCCAGACCTGTTGTAGTGGCCAGAGTGCTGCATAACAGAGATTCCCCCACGGACCAGCTGTCGGCGTTGTTCTGGGAATGTTGTCTGCTATTCGGGCGTACGTATGATTTGGGCCCTTTCCATGTGTAAGTTTCACATTGAACATTCCTGCGATGCCAAACTCTACACGCCTCCGTAAGCCCAACACGTGTTTCTTTACATCTCTCCTTCGCCTGTCGACCTGCTTGACGGCTTTCCTTGGCTATGAAACGACGTGCGCGTGCGCGGAAAGGACATTTAGGGGCGAAGCTCCTTAAGGCATGGGTCTGTCCATCCCTTTCCACCGGTGGCACATACCCGCTCTAGAGCGGGTATGTGCCACAGGGAATGTGAGATGGGAGATGGTGGTACTTGGAGTGTTCACTAGATAGACGCGTGGATGGACGGACAGACAGAGTAGCAGATGGACGGACGAACTGATGGACGCGCGGACATACAGATGGATGGATGCACGAACCGACAGACAGACAGATGGATGGACGGACTCATGAACGGACGTACGGACAGGTGGACGGACGCATGGATGGACAGACGGAAGCAATAACTAACGGACGGAGGGAAGCACGAACGGGCTGACGGACGCTTCGCTCCACTCATCATCATTCACTCCGTGGATATGTTGTGATTTTTTCTTCATTTTTCTTTCTTTCAAAGCCACTCCGTTGAAACGGCTGCGCGCGGACTCGGCGGCCAGCTAAGAAGGGGTGAATGACATCCCAGATGGCGCTCCCAATGGCACGCGCGTTTGCGTGCTACGTAGGAAACGGCGTCACTGATGGAGTAGCCAATGGAGGCCATTATCGTTTCTGAAGCCAACGGTTTTTAGTTTCACTTAGCAATATGAAGGTTTCGTTTTAAAAGGGTTAAGCGCAGGATGAGCCACACCAGTCGGCGAAAGAATCAGGCTTGACTAGACTTGTTCGGAGACACTTCCTACGAGAATACGTGCTCAACAAACTATTATTCATAAATTCTGGAGTTTGTTTTCTTCTTTTGTACTTTTTTTAATGCAGTAAAGGCTGAGATGTGTGTTTTAGGTGTGTTGCCAAGAAATGTATGCACTCATTGACTCAAATGATTGATTGATTTGTGGGGTTTAACGTCCCAAAACCACCATATGATTATGACAGATGCTGTAGTGGAAGACTCGGGAAATTTCGACCACCTGGGGTTCTTTAAAGTACACTTAAATCAGAGCACACGGGCCTACAACGTCTCCGCCTCCATCGGAATTGCAGCCGCCGCAGCCGGGAGTCGATCCCGTGACCTGCGAGTCAGCAGCCGAGTACCTTAGCCACTAGACCACGGCGGTGGGGCACTTTTCTAATCAATCGGTAAAGATTTGTTCTTCTTCGTGAGCACTCAAAAAAGCTCGACGACAGCTTCGCAGTAACAAAAAGAGTCACCATTCTTTAGTCAGAGGTACTCTGTGAATTACGCATGAGAATTCAGAATAACTATAAGATAACTAGACTAGATGTATTTAAATTAAGCTGCTAGTTTTTAAGAAATAATACATGCGTTGTGATTGTGAATGTATTCTGGGATTACAGAAGTCTACAGAGTAAAATTAAACGTGAAAATTTGAATAGTTCGTGCACGTAGATAACACTTTACTGAACAAGAGGACTTCTGCTGTGGTAAAAGATGCGCAGCTGTTTTCAAGACCTAAAGAGCGGCGGGGTCTGAGAAAAAGAGTCTGCTGTTTCGGCCAACGGCATGATATTCTCATACGCCTACGTTTTGTATTGCTATATACGAACATCGTAGCACTGTATACAGTTCTGAGGATCTAGCTAAGAAGCATTCCCTCGAGTACAGCGGCCAAGATAGCTGGTGCTAGCTCTACAGATGCACAAGTTAAGTAAGGGCGTAGTTATCAAAGCGTGACCTATTACTACTACTACTGCTACTACTACAACTAATAATAATAATAATAATAATAATAATAATAATAATAATAATAATAATAATAATAATAATAATAATAATAATAATAATAATAATAATAATAATAATAATAATAATAATATAATAATAATAATAATAATAATGTTTTATTTTCCAATGATGGTTTGATGAAGGACAGCTGCAGGTAAAAGCTGCTCTCCGAAAGAGGCAGCTTGACAAAGGCCCACAGCCACCTCAATGCCTCGGTGAAATCTGTTTTATATAGAACAAAAGTTGCTTTCACAGAAATAGTTTCAGCCTTGGTGCGTGTCAAGAAATACAAGTTTATTCTTTTGCATAGCATCTATAACAAAAAAAATGCCAGCAGATGCAACACACCTTTTTGTATTGTGCATACGGTGAAGCAAACGGGTGTATTCGATTACCTAATGCTACGATGCCCGCTACAATAGTCCCTTTTCTAGTCGTCTACCATCCCAATACAGCAGAGAGGAATTATATCTACAATGACGATGATCAGGACTTAACTAAACTGACTAATAGGCGTTCCTTAAGCTGTTATGACAAGTGGATACAATACGGGCATTAGAAAACCGGATGTGGAAACTTGACGTGAAAAGGGACAGTTAATGGAAGGAAGTAGCGAGTTATGAGATACCTCGCGTAGATGCCAGAAAAATAGTGTGCCCCAGAAAACTAGTGTGCCCAATTACTCGCGTTATTACCGGGACAAAAATTATGTGAGTACCTGGCGTATTTCAGCGACGGAAATGACGCAAGTAGGCGGTAATTCTGGAATGAAACATCGTAACTTGCGTATAGGGAGAACGTTGATAAGACTGCGCAGACACGAGGTTCTACGCAGTGCTGCATGTGAGGGTAAAACGTGTTGGGGGCACCTCACCTGTGACGTGGTAGTGGGCGTAGTTGGCGCTCGTCCTGTTGCGACGAGTGAGAACGTCATCCGTGTGGCAGCGAAAGCGCGCAGCCTGCGTCATGCTCCGAACGTAGAGGTCACCCGACGACAACATCACGTAGCGGTCTGCGAGAGCAGAAGGAGCAGTCGTACGCATAAAGGACAAGACAGATGCGCGCAGAACAAGTTTGTCTATGCAGTTCGCATGTTTATCGAGTGATTGCAAACAATATTGTCACGTAAGAATGAGGGTAGCCCGAAGACAGGAGACCGGGAGGCTCGTAGAAATAGAAGGGAATCCGTTTATTTGGCGGGCTTGCACCCACTAAAGGAAAATATACACATCGGCTTAGCGGGTGCCGGACAGCGTGTTCGACGGCCGTCGGGGAACAGAACGCCCCACTGGATTGCAAGGTGCGTTCACCATCCGAGATACAGTCGTCGTAGAATCTGGGGCTATCTCGTAATCAACGAATGGCCGACGTGCGGGCCACGATCTTCGCAGATGAATTGCGGTGCATCCTGGACCACGATAAGGCCGCGTGCCGGTGGTATCGGCATGCGTAACACTATCCGCAATACGCTTCGCGGCAATATATAGGTTTCGGTGCACGTTAAAGAACCCCAGGTGGTCGAAATTCGCGGAGCCCTCCACTACGGCATCTGCCATAATCGTACCGTGGTTTTGGCACGTTAAATCCAAACAATTATTATTAGGAACATGAAGTCTCAAATTGATTGATTGATTGATTGATTGATTGATTGATTGATTGATTGACTGATTTATTCTTCGATTCATTGATTTTGATGGTCAAAGCGTTGGAAGGAATTTCGAAGGCCAGATTAGACTTTCTTTCTCGCGAATAGTTTTTTTTTTCTGGATTATTGAAGTGAATTGTTTAACAATCGCCAAGTATTACGATAGGTGGCGGCAATGATAAGCTGCAGAGGCATGCTGTATGGCAAGAGATTAAAATAAGGGGATCGACTTATAGGGACAAGCCACAGTTTTATTCTTTCCATGGAACTCGTCATATATGTGTAACACCAGAAGCAGAGTGATCTTACAGAGTAGCAGTGCTACGTGTTTTTCAGGTGTATTTCCATAGTTATTCTCCTTGCGGCAACAAGGGAGGGACCAAGCAAGAACATACTAGTTTATTCTTTTCTATGTTTTGCTTATTCTTTGTTATCTGTTTCATACATAACATTACATAAAAGAGTCAACCATCAGAGACCAACAGGAACCATATTTAGTGCTAAACAATTGTAAATATGGTGATCACAGGACATTTTAGCAGCCGCAAGTGTGTTTGGGAGAAAACCATGACCATTGTGGAAGGTGCTCTAACTTCTGGTTCCCCATCGGACGAGTGAAAGAGATATTCATTATTCATAACATATTTATTTAGTTCTTTCTCAATGTAAAATCACTTCAGCGTGCACCGATCACTAAATGTTCGCGACACACGCTTAAAAAAATGATCCAGTGAAGCGTTAAAAATAATTTACCTGTTACCCAACAGTAACAGCAAATAAATAACAGTTATCTTCGAATAACTATAGGACACCCTCAGTTCAGCAGATACTACATCATTTTCATTGTTTGACACATTTTGAGACTTTACGTCGTACCAGTATGGACATATATTACAGAAAACAAAACAACACAAAACGAACGTTTAATATACCCGAGTTTTATTGCAGCGCACACCACGGGGACTAGTGAAGAAGCTCAGTTCCACTAGCAGTGTAGGAAGCTAAATTTGAGCTGAGAAAAATCGCACTCTTGTCTTGGTGTGAGCAGTATCGGAGTTAGAGGTTGTAGGGGTGGAAGGGTGTGGTGTGGGCGACAACAATTAATGGCTGTGTTGGGATAATTTCGACCCTGATGAGTCCTCTATTTTTTTCCAGACACGCGGTAGCTCGTGTCTCATCAATCCTCCAGTCGTCGGCATCTTTGATGTCGGCACCCAACGCGTCCCCCCAAGAACCTAGTGGGGTTATCTTATCACGGATGCCGCGGAAAATAACCGAAGCCAGCAATCAAGAGATGTGGCAGCTGCACTCCACACTACTTAGGAGACTCATCCGAAACCTCCGGGCCACTTTCTGTGATGGCAGATTGAGATCCGCGCGACAGATCAAGGAAGTAGATGTGCAACACACCTAGGCAAATGCACGTTGACGTGTTATTTACACGTCACACGCACGTTATCACACTGTACGAGTACCCATCATCCCCCCAAAGCATCGCTTCAGGCGTGAAAAAAAAAAGTGAGCCCTTCTAGGGTTTTTTTTTATTCCTGAAATATGATCCAATATGATTTCCTGATTGATTGATCGATTGATATGTGGGATTTAACGTCCCAAAACCACCATATGAATATGAGAGACGCCGTAGTGGAGGGCTCCGGAAATTTCGACCACCTGGGGTTCTTAAGCGTGCACTCAAATCTGAGCACACAGGCCTACAACATTTCCGCCTCCATCGGAAATGCAGCCGCCGCAGCCAGGATTCGAACTCGCGACCTGCGGGCCAGCAGCCGAGTGCCTTAGCCACTAGACCACCGCGGCGGGGCAAGTTTATCCACATGAAGTTGAGCTTACATTAAGCTTTGTCTTTAGCTGCACAGGAAATCTGCGTCGTACTCATAACACTGCTTTCAATGATATATCAAGGTGGCGTCGAATTAGGAAGCCTTTTCATTCAGTAGTTCTGTTCGCTCAGAGGTCCTCCACCTTCGCTCTGATTATGTGGTGCATATTGATCAGCGTGTATGTGCTCTTAAGCACATGTATTATGTAAAAAGATCATTTTGCGTATGTGATTAGGTGTGTGTGTGTGTGTGTGTGTGTGTGTGTGTGTGTGTGTGTGTGTGTGTGTGTGTGTGTGTGTGTGTGTGTGTGTGTGTGTGTGTGTGTGTGTGTGTGTGTTTTGGGGGGGGGGGTGATTACTGTACTATGATAATACACTGATTCGGGCATGCCATAAACCTCTCTTCTCTGTGAAAGCACAGCAGATTCTTGTCCTCATCTACTGAAGTTGAGCCGATCCATATATTATTCTTAGCCCATTAGCTAATGCGTGTCTGTAAATCCTAATTACGAATGAAAATTCAAACCAAATTGAGAGCCCCTACAGCGCATAGTTATGCATGGTAATAACACTCCCAACTAACCTACTAGATGCATCTAAGCTTTACTGAGTGTAAAGTGCGCTGCCGGTAAACATCCATAGAATTTTCTTATAATGTTTTTATGGGGCTTTATTTGGCTGTAATAGGTAGAATTGGTTACTAGTTGTGAGTTCCCTGGTACAATGACAAAACTGTGCAAAGGTAAACATAGAGCGAAAACGCAGAGCATGGTATTCTGGCCAGATTCGTGTAATTTCACACAAATAGAATGAAATTCAGCACTACTGCTTTTTTTTAAAACAAAAGATAATACGAGAGTTTAATCGATCTTGCGTTACAATTTCGGAATTACAAAATAAGAAGGGAAGACTGGAATCTAAACTTAATCTGTCAGAATCACCACAAGGGACGTATCAGTATATATGGCTTTAACACCATTTACCACAAGGATTGGATGGCGCAATTTCTATAGTTAAACAACGATGTGTAATACTTAGTCCTGAAAAACAAACTATAAATCGATTTGGCAACCGTTTATTCGCATAATAAACAAAAGTAACCAAAAACTTTTTCCCGTTTTGCAAAAAGCGTCAAGTGCTGCTTTTTCGCGGTGAAGTCGGCGTCATTTATGTACCGATGTGGACAAATTTTGAGTACAGGAAGTTCACGAAAGGACGTCACCAAGTGAACCATCTCTGAATCATTGCAACCTCTATCGACACCTTAGTTTGCACATTCTTCAGGCCGCCTTTCGAAAGATATCAACACGAAGTCCCAGATTTATGACCTCGCATATAAGGTTGAAATACAGTGACACGTTGCATTGCTCTCTTCAGCACTTCCTATCTCCATCACTCTCTCCAACAATTCATTCGCTTCAATGCTCAATAAGGGCAGAGTCATTGCTCTATGTCCATCCACTTGCATCTCTTCTTTATTTTTCTTCGTCAGCAATCGATTGGCCACGACTTGTAACATTTGCGTTTTCAAGCTCCCTGTCCAAATCGTGAGAAGTTGCCTCGATTGCGGCTCTCGCTAAACGTCGTTCATGTTCGCAGTTTTTAAAACTTTTTTTCGTACCTCCGAGTTTTTTCAGTACATTCAGCTATTCTAAAATAGAACTGTTCAAAGGAAAAAGTATCGCCGTGGAAACCGAAAGCCGGCCCGCTCTTGCATGTTTGCAGCGTGCAATAGAACTTGTTCTAAAGAAGATCCCACGCGTGTGTGTACGGCACGCGCATGTAGTATTGCTTCCGTCTTATTTACCACAACGGGCATCGGCGTCGTTCCTGCCTCTGAAGTGTATAAGAAGTTTCGGGTACGAATAGAAGCTCTTGTTCCTTCCGGCAATAGATCGCTTTACCGCTCTCTCTCTCTCTCTCTCTCTTCATCGTGTTATTCAAAGGACATTCTGAAAGTCTTCTTTCCAATTTTTGCTGATTTTTCACTGCAACCTCTTTATTTTGTACCTTGTTGTCGAAGAAACCGCCAGCTCCCTGCATAAAAACAACTTTGCTGTCTCAAGTTCTTCACAAATTTTCCAATTGCGTTGCTACCGTCTCCTTTATACTCCTCTAACGCACTCTTGGGCTTCTGAACGAGCCTCCCATGCAGTAGTTCGATAACTTGTTTTATTCAGTCTACGTTATTTTCACTGCTTTTTTTTGCTTTCTTAGTCGACTATACAATATATCAGATACACAAGTCTCCCAGATACAGTTTTATCGCATTCCCTCCTGCCACTCCTCAGCGTAAAGGGAAACTGCAAAGGTGAATGCAACGCAGAGCATGGTTTCGTTTCCGCGTGGCATGGACGATATTGCATGGACTCTCAACTCTGCTTATTTCACGGCATTACTGTAGATTTTGGTACTGCGCTGCACGTTTTTAGCCACCTATACTATGCTTTCGCGTTTTCCCGCTGCACTGTGATGCTGGAGATGAAAAGAATTATAAAAACAGTGCCTTCGTTTTATTATCTGCCTCAGAACACAACAGTGAAACCTTCTTTTCTCGTAATATTTTGTTGGATATTCTCTAGCTAACTAGAAGTGTGGAGGGAGTGAAGTATTGCGTAGTAAGCTTTAAAAGATGAAATGTTTGACATGGTGTCGTAAAAGCAATAAATGTAGAGGATGTCATATAATCAAGCCTACCACGTAGGTCTCAATTTATTGAAAATTAGGTGCATGTCACGTGACATCTATAACGGTCAACAGAGCTCTACAACACGTTTAAGACGTTCTGCGCAAACATTGCCGATTGGCACTACAAGTTCCTTCGTAAATCAATGAAGCATTCTAAAGCAGAACGCAACTTAGAATTCAGAGTTAATATTTGAAAGTCAGCTAAATACTGTTCACACTTCTTTTGACAAATGATTCCGTTATGCATATATAACTGTCATAAACACATTGTACACGACCATTGTGCACCACAGGGGTTCCATGAAGACATGGGCATTGTTAGCTGTATACTGTTGCGAACGACGGACCGATCCCACCGCTGCCACCACTGTTGCGAAAGACGGGGACGCCAACACGGTCCCGAAGGCGCCACTGCTTTCAACTCCGCCGGGAAGGTCACCAGCCGTTTGGTAGCGTATGTTTCTCAGCTCGCGACTGCTTCTGCGCAGAGCTGATAAGACGAGCGGACGAGACGACGGTGAGTTAAACAAGGTTTATGTACAGCATATATACAGAGGCGTTACAATTTCGGCACTGGGGCCGACAGAGACTCGAAGAGCCGAGCTCTCCTCTCTAACACATAGGTCAACTTTTCGCCTAAGACCGCCGACTCACACACATGTCGGCTCTCCGACATGGGGACCCCTCTCTCATAGGACCGCCGATCACGACACGCCGCAGGGCTTTTTTTTATATGCACCGGGTCCAACCAAAATGTCCAATCAGAAGCGCCGCTGGTCGTCAGGGCAGATTCCTCCAATGGGGTCGCCGCTGGGCCACGTTACCCCCAGACACGAGGACGCCGGCTCGCTGTCACGTGCGCCGCTGACTCACTGCACGTGGGCCAGAGAGGCGCCGCGCGTGTTTACTCCGTTGAGCTGTTCGTGTCAGGCGGACTGCGGGCTGGCCTTGACCCAGATTGCCTTTTTCAGAGGCACGGACGTTTGACGAGGACTCGCTGGCATAACAATACCGACCACAGCCGCCACCAGATGCCGCGAAGTGTCCAACAGGTTACTGTTAATCACGCTAAAAAAAGGAGCGTGCTGAAGAAAAAATCAAGGAAGAGAAAGTTTTATTTTTATGACGTGTAGATTCAAAGAATACTTGAAAACGAGTTACAAGACCACAATGACTGACACTAATGATGATTCGCGGCAGACGTACAAGAGAATGAAAATTGCAAATCCAATGTGGATTCCAGCTTAATGTGACAGGACAGTTAGAGATATCCGAAAAGTGGCACCATATATTTAGAAATCGTATCAATGCTAACAATATCTTCGGGGATGAGGTAATCGTTTTCATCGGAAGATACGGCGACTGCGATGACAGTAACAGTGTTGCAAGGCAGGGCATATTACGTCCGCATTCAGTTCTTACAGTAAAGGACCTTTTCTTGTGAGTACATGCACACGCACGCAAGCAAGAAAACGCACGCACACGCAAAACCACACACACACAACTGCGTTGTTCTCCTCCGATCTGCATAAACTGGGTATTTTGTTCTGCCAGCTACCGTATCTTAGCCATGACAGCCCCAGTTTCAATGCATCATCTTTCCGCACTCAAGAGAGGGCTGATACTAGCACGACGATTCGCCCTATCACAGTTTCGAGCTCCCTCCCGAAAGCTTCATTGTCCGAGTGTCCGTCGAATTCATCTGCTTTGTCCCCTAAAGGCGAAACGCCATGTAGTAGTGACGACACTGCAGCGCTAGCTCATCGAGTGCTCCTGCGGGGGTCGTTATATGGGGTTCGGCTGAAATATTGCGGAGGTGCCCGGAGGCACAGTTCAATGCGCAGTTTAGAGCAATTGCTTAGCAGACGCTAACTAGTCTGAATGCCCGTTAATGTGGTTACGCGGGCCCCGACGACGACGACAAAGTAATTGTTGATGCGAGCCATTTTGGCCTCTGTTTTATGCACCTGTAGTAATGCATCTCACTGTGTGAACTTGTGTGAATAATGTGTGCAAAAATATTACGCCGATACCTATACGGGTCGTTTCAAGGTTCTAGCGGTCTCAGCAACGTCCGTTGTGAGGTCATTCATTGAGGGTTTAGTTCGCTCGACGTGCCATTCACACATGCGTGAGACCGGGCCCGTTGCTGGAAGAAAGAAGGCAAGGAGGAAGGAGGGGAGGGGGATGCTAAAGGCGCGTTTTTTGCGCAAGTCGTTCACTTGAAATAATTGCACCACTAAGATGATTACCTCCAAAATCAAACATGAAAAATCAATAATACAGTCGTATTTAAAAAGTCGCTTAATCAACATACTGCAATTTAACCGGAAATAATTGCTGAACATAGGCCATTTTCTCAAATAGTCAAGCCTTCCCATGCATACAAGTAGATCTCGCGAGCCGACAAAGAACGCGTAACAAACGTGATGATGAAAAAGATGCTTCATTTTGTAGACTGTACTAAATATTTCTATGTGTAAGATTCAATTCGCACAAAACTATGTGCCTTCTATCAGTATCTTTCCATACGAGTTTGCCCTACGTTCAAGAGTACACATACGAATTTTCACAGTGCTCATTTTTTTTTTTACTTGCGAACGTCGCCTGACCAAAGTCCACCATCCTTTTTTGTTTGACACAGCATTTTCTGTAAGGAAGCAAAAGTTTAATTCGCTGGACTCGGCTGCCTTTACATATATTGCACAGCTTTCTCTGAACAGTGGCCGCTTTCAACAAAAAATGAATAAATGAGCAAATGGCACTCTTCGTCCTAGGGAACTTAATTGTCACTTGTAATCACATTCTTCTCTCATACACGCGTATCCTTCAGCAAAAAATAGTAATAATAAACGAAAGCTAATGACAAAACAACACTGGCCGTCAAATTGGCTCTGCCCCAAAAGCTGAATCTTCGTAACCTGTGGAACAAAACAATCTCTACTGGTTTCTTTTTTATTATTTCAACTGAATAAGGTGGTCAACGAGCACTGACATTGTAACAAAACAAAAAAAGGAAGAAAGGAAGGTGCTGACGAATACAAGGACCAATTCAGTTAAGGTCTATGTGACATTCATGGAAGCGAGCGGGAGTGGTCCGGCAACGTAACGAGTTTTGCCGAAAAAAAATTGCACACACTGGGAAGCGAGGAGCTTGGCGGTGGAGAAAACCAAATAAAGCTACCTCGTAAGACAGACTCAGCGGCTCGAGGAAAATTCTTGGGTGAAGTGGACATTCAGTGGTATATTCTTCTTCTTCTTGAGGCTCCCTCCGTGTCTTCATCTACGCTATTCTATGTCTCTTCTCCACCCATTTATAAACATTAGGGTGTGTTCTCCTTCGTCATGCAGCATATCTTTGTTTTATGACAATATTGGGAAGTCCGTTGGTTGATCAGAAAAGCTTTTAGGCGTGGTAATCTTCATTTTCGCAACCCACCAACGTTAGCGTAATCACATCACTGACGGCCGAATGAACTCGGCTCATACTTTCAGATTGATGACGCTTGGGATTTTTTTTTCTTTCTTTTTTAATCTGTTCTCGTCGCAATCTTTTTCTCTGCCAGTCTCAAGGTTTTTTAATAAAAAGAAAACTGCCAAGTACGGGATGCACCATTTACCGTTCTTATCCCCTCTTTTTCGAGGTTGTTAAGCTTTACTTTCAACGTCCACAGTGGTAACGTTGTTTTCATGATTTTTGCTGTTGTATAATCTTAGTAATTGTAGTTGTCTTACACCCCAAAACCACAATAACATATTATTATGAGAGGTGCCGTAGCGATGGGCTTGAGAAATTTGGACCATGTGGGGTTATTTAATGTGCCTCTAAATATTAAAACATAGCATGTCGCCTGCTTCAAAATGTGGCCGCCACAACCTCGAGTCCATCCCGTGAGATTCAGGAACAGTGCGTAGAATACTGCACTTGAAATCAACAGTCAAGCATGAAGCGTACCTATTAGGCCACCACGAGGGATGAATTGTTGAATCTCGCAGAGAGCTGTGTACTATGCCGTAATTTCCAAAACTATAAACTGCCGCCTTGCTGAATGCTGTCGACGGATTGTACAAGGTTACAGGGAGTGTGTGTATCCTGAGCGCATTCGACTGCCTGAAGTGATCTGAAAACCAATTCACATTTGAGGCTGGGATGCTGAAGCGCGGATGAAAATGTGCCTGACTGGCATACATCGTGCAAAACAAGAGGTCACATAGGCTGCGAAGCTTTGGAATAACAAACGTTCTTCAGTATATATTTAACCGGTAGTAATCGTAAATTTCGACGAACCATTCTTATTTATTTGGTGATAAATTGATATGGCAGGTTACCACTGTAAGGCGACTGAAGCTTCGCTTTTGTTTCCTTTTGGTTTGCTTTGTTTTTGAGCAGTCTAGCATCTAAATAATCGTATTCCCTTCAGACTCTTTGCGAGTCATTAACCCTTAAGTACATTCCGCTTCCTTTAATATCAACAACACACACAAAAAACGAGACAAAGTGCTTCGTATGTTTTAAGAGTTCCCCTTTATTTCGTATGTTTTCTGAACCAATGATTCATTTTTTAATTGTTTGCACCACAACAGACCAATTAAAAGGTGCTTACTTCTCGGCATACTATTACGGCAGCGTTTATAGGCATAGTGTTCTCTTACTTTTGTTTTTCATTCATCCAGGCGTTACATTGTTCTCATCAGAAAAACCTGCTTCGAGCCACTCACCTGTCGGCGATCGTGGTGTGATGAGTGCGGGACTGAGGTGCTCCTCTTCCCAGGCGGTGACAATGACGTGGTGGCTCACGTGACTGGGTACCGGACAACGCACCAGCAGTGCACTGCCCCGAGGCACCGAGCCGGGGGCGGACCACATGCGCAGCTCCCAGTCCTGGGCTACCACTGCACGACAAAAAGCAATGCGACAAGCGCTGAAGTTACGAATCCAAAGAAGTCAAACTCTTTTTTGCACATCTCCTTCCACCGTACTGGATAGACTGCCAAGAGTGTCATTGAGAAAGCGTCTGTAAAATAGTCGGTGACGTGGTCACGGCAATGTAGCAGCTTGCAAGGCACCTACGGTTTGAAGTTTTACAGTAGGACAACACAAAAAGTAGGCAAAGCAGCGTAGGACAAAGCGACACTCGCTGAAACAAAATTTTGTACGTGTTGGTCCCAGCTGTACTTCGCGTCTGTCGCTGTGATCGGTGAGGATTGCAGGGTCTTCTGGTTTTGCGACCTTGTCATTAATTTGCATTCGACATCTCGATGGACATGTTCCACGTGTCGGTCGCTGTGAATATTCTTTTGTCTTTTAATAAGCCTATCTGAAGTAGCGTAAAAGGCCTGACGCCAGGCGTATACCTCTCCATTATTCAACAAAGACTCTATCTGATCGACACTTCAAAAAGTTATCTTGCGAAGGAACACAGAAAATCACCAGGCCTGTGCAGAACGCACCGCACAGTCACCAAAAAGCTGGAAGAGCAGCCTTTCTAGAGAATGTTTAGGCACTCATGGGGCAATAGACAGACACTCATGCTACAAAGGCACTTGCTTTGATATTCTCAGTGCCCCAAGTCATCCTAATTTCTGTGTAGTGGGTAAGCGTTCACTGTGCCATCATTCGCCATTCTACGGAAAATCGTAGTACCCTGTAGACGCTTGTAAGGCATTATGGGCACTTAGTTGATACTGTGGCTGACGACGATGTAGAAATATGCCAGAAGCTTTTGAAACGGGTTGGAACATTCAACAACCCACTCGTTAGTCAATTTGCATCGTGCAACGGCTGGTAGTTTTAAGCACCAGCGTAGCTCAGTACAGTGAAGAAAAAAAAAACGGTGTATCTCAGTGGTGGAGTACTGTGATGCCACACAGAGGGCTCGGGAATGTTTTCTATTCTGTTTTTATGAATATTTTTATTTATTCTTTTTTTAGCGCGGAAGTTGTCACGAACACCGGCGGTGCTGGACAACTATGACGACAGATTCGGCCCTTGCTGTGATCTCATAGCAGCTTTCGCTGTAAAGACAACGTCTATGCAGTCTTTTGTAACATCCACTTAAACACGCTAGGGTCACAGGTAATTATAGATGAAGCAGCAAGCTGTAATCCCGGTGTTTCTTATTGTCCGGCTGTAAGGTTTCACGGAGAGCTATGGAAGTCCTAAAAATCTTTTTAAAAAACAGGAAGAAGTCGGGTTTTTAAAAACATCTGCGCCAGTTATTTTGGCGGCAACTGCTACTACAGCGATTAGAAAGAAAAGGTGGCAAGGGTATGATTTTGTCGGCAAACAAAAGGATTACTCGACTCCCGTAAATAGAACTATTTTTCTCAGGACGTCATCAAAGTAAACATTAGTCGATGATTTCTGCCAACACACACGAGATCGTTTAGTGAAGCAGTCCTGATTGTCTGCTCCTTACCTTAGCTTTGTTTTGTTCACTAAAGAGAACAGTCTTCACTGTAGAAAACTTTTTTTAGGCTGCAACTAAAGTAAAGATGCATCGACTTCCATAGTCAGGTTAAGGTTCGTACAAAAGCTCACAATGATCATTTTGGATTGAAGTAAAGCTGTGAATGCTGTGTACTATGCAGAAGACGAAGTACAGCGGGTAACAAAGGACAGAGAAAGAAGCTCGACTGCCTAATTCGCAGACAACACTGACTGCACATCAACCTCGCTGAAGTAGTGCACCATGGTCATTGTCATCAAAAGTATACGCCAAAAAACAACTGCTGAAGCTGAAGGGCAGTTCCCTTGATGCACCTATAGCCTTGATGGCATTTGATGTGTTGACAAGCCAAATACAATGATGTTGGAAACCGAGTTAAGCACCATCATGATACTACATTTAGAGGAAAGAAGATAGCTATCATTTACTTATTTTAGCGTGTCATAGGTCTTCTACGCTTTACATGGCCCTGGCGGGAAATATTCTAGTATAGACGAGTGTCATCGGCCCACTGCTGCGATGATAAGATAACTATAGACCGAAAGCCATTTTCTCTAAAGAAGCACTGTATTTACCAGAAATGAGATGTGTCACCTGTAAAATCAACAAGATTACTTTTCGTGATTACATTTTGGTCAGTTCCAAGAAGCCATGTAGTTATAACACAAAAGCGATAACTGTGCTAGTTGGTGAAAATGCTCGTGTCCGCGTACTTAGATGTTGGTACACGTTAAGAAAACGCAGATGGTCAGAATTTCCGGAGCCCTCTCCTATGGCGTTTTTGGTAATCATATCGTGGTTTCGAAACGTTAACCAACACATATTATTATTATTATTATTATTATTATTATTATTATTATTATTATTATTATTATTATTATTATTATTATTATTATTATTATTATTATTATTATTATTATTATTATTATTATTATTATTATTATTATTATTCCGCTCCCTTCCACGCACGTAAAACTCCGACACACACAGACTGCGCTAAAGTCTGTGTGCTGTTTACGCTTGTGTAAGCGAATTATCCTTTTGTGTTAAGGTGCATCAACTCTTTTAGCAATAAATTCAACTTGAACAAACACACAAAGTGTGTTTGTTTAAGATAATCGATATCGACTATGCTCTTACCGCAGTCTGTTCGGATTTCTGTTGGCGCAAAGCTCATTAATGCCAGCTTCGCTTCTCAATTGCAGCCACAATCGCAAACAAGTTAGCCACGCACTGTGCGCTATAGCATATTGACTACGTTGTCGTGAGGTTATTTTTGGTTGTTTTCGCGCAACGTTTGCGAAACCCCGTAACGATAGCTCCCTTTCATGACTACATCGGAGCCCCCACAGTGATATATGGTATCATTACTCCGTGGCAATAGAACTTTCTTTGTGAACTATTTCTAGTCGAAACGAAGCTCAAATTTTTTAAGAGTCCCACGCGAGTAGCCTACACTGTAAGTGGCTTGTCTTCTGCAGCGGAGTTCGTCGAGCGAAGATTAGTGTTATTTGCTGGCCCCGTTGAGCATGTTACTTGAATGTGGAGACGCAGACCATTACTATGGGCGATCAGAATGTTTTTTTTCTTTTTTTTCTCTCGGACAAACTGGTTCACGACGGCGATCTTAATCAACGCCCGATGTTCTTTCCACATAATCTTCCGATTGTTTCCGAATACACGTGCGCCATGATATCTCGACCTAGTTCGCTGTGCCTCGAAAAGTTTTTCCCCGTGGACTACCGCTGTTGTATTACATCCAGGCCTAATGGTCAGTCGTGCTGCCATATTACCACCCCATCGGCGGATATTTCACGTAGCCCGGTGCATCGATGGGCGTGCCCTCGCCTCCACGCACGCCAGCCGATGACAGACCGCAAATCGCAATGAGCAATGCGAGCTCGACACGCCGTTGGGAACTCGAAAATGGTCGCCATCGAAAACTCGAATCACCTGCGCACCGTGTCGCGTGCGCTGTCGACGTGGTCGATTGGATAATTGAGGGTTTCCCGTAGAAGCTCCATGGGCGTGCACCTCGTTCTCTCTTTGTGCGCGTGTGTCAAAACATTTTCTCCGTGGAGGTCATCATTGCCCGGATCCGCCCCGGCTTATGGGCTGAGAACGAAGGTTCGAGCCAGGTACGCGACGAAAAAGCTTTTCAGCGCATGCGCAGGGACATCACGACAATCTGGGGCACTTTGTTGAATGTTTCGCTTCATCGTGAAACCCTTGCGTGTTTCGGCCTTGGCAACGTAACGTAGCGGTCTTTTTGTGTGTTGTGATTTCCTTTACCAAATTTAATGAGATTGCACAGGCTTGTTCAGTTTCACGTACGTAAAGGCTATTTCTAAAGCCGACCATTCGCGTTGGAATATTCTTTCCTCTCTACCTCCCTCCCTCCCTCTCTCCCTCCCTCCCTTTTTCCTTGTTGCTGCTTAGAGAAATAAAATTCCTCCTCTCGCCGCAACACGGCTTTTATAATGGTTGCCGTGTTATATACGGTCTGTTGCCTCAATTGATTTCGTGACATTGTTAGCAGTCACTACAATATCTGGTGTCGTCTTTTTTACGTGCTACATGTTCATTTATTTTTATTATCATTTATCGCTACATTCATTTAAATATTTAATTATTTACAGTGGTTTGGGAGCTCCCGTGTGCGCTTCAAAACATAGGGCTTCGTCATGCATATTTACCTGTACTATAAACGCTTACGTCATAATGATTACTCAATAATAATTGCTGTTATTGTTTGATTGATATGGTGTAATGATTACTCAATAATATTTGCTGTTATGAATTGATTGATTGATTGATTGATTGATTGATTGATTGATTTGTTGGTTGGTTGGTTGGTTGGTTGATTGGTTGATATTCTGTCTTAATTCGGCTTTATGTCACGTTAAAATTACCCGAAACAAAACGGTGTCTGTCACGCTAAACGTCCCCGTTAAGGGATGGCGTTGCGTGCGGATGAGACGATGGGACAAAAGTTATACGGTCCCATTGTATACAAGTTTGGCGACTCTTGCTCAACGCACACGATGACGTTTTATTTTATCGCGTCTTCGAGAGCCGCCGTGCGTGTTGCGCGGCTCAGATGCACCCGTGGTGAACAAGATCTTTGAAACTGGAAAATCATAATCATATTGCAAGAATTATCCAGAAGTTATGTCAATAGTAATATCTAAGGTTTGCATGCCACACCAATATTGTCATTATGAGGCTCCGTTGATTTCCGCCATCTGGCGTATTTTTTTACGTGCACTGATAATGCGCTGTACACGGGCTCTAGTATTTCGTCGCCATCGAAATGTGACTGTCACGGCCGAAATCGAACCCGCGACTTCAGCGTCAGTGGTCGAGCACCGCAACCATTGTACCACTCAGGCGGACAATATTTTATGGTAACGAAAAGACGTTTGCTAATGATGAAGCTGCTTC